CGGAGGCGCCCCGCCAACCAGCAGCACTGCCAGCACGCAGGCAGTGGCCCGCCCAGAGAGCTCCAACCCTCGTCCTTCCAGGGCAGGAGGAGGACAGCAGCCGGTCCCCCCTTTCTTGCTCCCTGTCCTGGGGCTCCTCCTGGGCGCCAAGCTGGGTGTACCCTGGAGAACATGGCAGAGCTGCCCGACTCTTTCTCCCCCTCTCCCCCACCCATCAAGAGGCCCCTCCAAGAGGGTTCTGGGCTCGGACCCACACCTTGCCCAGGAGGAAGGAGAGGGAAGGTGTTAGCCCACAGGCAGCAGGGCGCCTGGAGTGGGCTTGGGGAAGCTGCCTCTCTTCACGCAAGGACTAGCCAGCGCCCAGAGGGCTTCCCCCCAGGGCAGAGAGGTGCGGAGCCAGACCTGTGGGAGAGGAGGGGGGCCTGACAGCCTCCACAGGGCTGGAGCTGGGGTCCCAGCCACCTTGCCATGCCTTTGCAAGGGGGAGGCAGAGAGACAAGAGAAGGATGAGCCCAGTGAGGTGGGACAGAGAGAGGGAAGGGGGACCACTTGGAGGAAGGAGGGCTGGGAGGCCAGCGTGGGCCTAGGACCAAGGGGGCCACAGGGTGGCGACAAAGGGGCATGGACTGCAAGCCTGCGGTGAGCACCTCAGAAATCATGGGCCCTCTGGGGAGGAGAGGGTAGTAAGGGGGCAGCGAGCTGGGGGCAGCAGGGCAGTCGGTGGGCACCAGCTGGTTCTGCTGTCTCTTGCTCCCTCCCCTGGTCCCTCAGTGGGTCCCTTGGCAGGCCCTCCTGAGCCCCAGCAGTGGGAAGCAGGGCAGAGGCAGCACCAGGCTGGTGCAGGGCAGCAAGGTGGGAGGCATCTCTGGGGGTGACCGGGCAGCAGAACTGGGATGACTTAGTGAAGGCAGTTGGAGGTCAGAGTGGTGACAGCAGGGACAGCGCAGGTCTGGTGGGGGCTGGGGGTGGGCCCTACCTGGGGATGGGAACCGGCCAGGCACAGGCCAGCAAGCTGATGGGCTAGATGTCGGCCGTCAGTGTGTCTGTCCGCTGTCGGGCGACTAAGAACAGCTGCTCACTCCTGGGCAGTTCGTGGAGAGAGGGAGACAGAGGC